TTATTAAAAGGCAGAGAGAGAGAGAAAGAGAAAGCTTTCCATCCACTGGTCCACTCCCCGTTTGGCTGTAATGGCCGGAGCTGGACCGATCCGAAGCAAGGAGCCAGGAGCGTCTTCTGGGTCTCCCACACAGATGTAGGGGTCCTGGGCCATCTTCTACTGCTTTCCCAGGCCATAGCAGAGAGGTGGATCGGAAGTGGAGCAGCCAGGTCTTGAACTGGCGCCCGTATGGGATGCTGGCACTATAGGCCATGGCTTTACCTGTTACGCCGCAGCACCGCCCCCTGAGAGGGAAATTTAGATGTGGGAAAATAATCACATTGCTTACTTTGTTGTTTCTGTATAGTTCTACAGTAGTCATGCACTGTATTTTTCCCTGTCAAATTCACATATAACTGGAATGATAATGCAGTATATGGTTTGTAAGCACACAGTTTGTTCAGTTCTTATTTTAAAACATTTTTGTGCTTATTTATTTGAAAGACAGAGTGACAGAAAGATGGAGAGACAGAGAAAGAGAGAGTGCTTCCATCCACTGGTTTGCTCCCCAAATGTCCACAACAGCTGAAACTGGACTAGGCTAAAGCCAGGAGCCTGGAACTCCTTCAGGTCTCCCTTGTGAGTGGCAGGGGCCAGAGTACGTGGGCCATCTTCTACTGCTTTCCCAGGCACACGAGCAGCGAGCTGGATCCAAAGAGGAGCAGCTGGAACTCAAACTGGCACTCATATGAGGGATGCCAGCGTCACAGGGAACTGCTTAACCAGCTGTACCACAGTGCTGGCCCTGCCCAGTTCTATTGAATGCACACACCTACGTCACTCACACCCCTAACAAGACATGGAGCACTTTCAAGATGCAGAGCTTCACCAGATTCTCTCGTGCCCCCTCCCAGAAAATGTTTTCCTCCTCCCATGGCCCCCACCCCCCATCCTCCCACCCGCTGCAGGCCCACACTGACCTGATTTCTGGTTTTGCCTGTGGGAGAACATACACAGTATGTTCTCTTGTCTCTGGTTTCTTCCACTCTGCGTTCACCCTTGTTGTCACACGTGTTAGCAGTTTGTTCCTTTTCATTGCTGAGTAATATTCCATTGCAGATCCCACCACTGTTTGTGCCTTCGTCTGTCAGGGGACGCCTGGACTGTTTTCAGTTTCGATTATTAGGAAAGAAGATTCAGGAAAAACACTCAAGTCTAAGTCTCTCTCTCTCTTTTTTTTTTTTTTTTTTTTTTTTTTTTTTTTTTGAGGGGACAGTGAGAGAGACAGACAGAGAGAAAGGTCTTCCTTTGCCATTGGTTCACCCTCCAATGGCCGCCAAGGCCGGCGCACTGCACTGATCCGAAGCCAGGAGCCAGGTGCTTCCTCATGGTCTCCCATGGGGTGCAGGGCCCAAGGACTTGGGCCATCCTCCACTGCACTCCCGGGCCACAGCAGAGAGCTGGCCTGGAAGAGGAGCAACCGGGACAGAATCCGGCGCCCCGACCGGGACTAGGACCCGGGGTGCCAGCACCGGAGGTGGAGGATTAGCCTATTGAACCGCGGTGCTGGCCTCATGTCTAAGTCTTTTTGAGGACGTATGTTTTCCCTTTTCAGAGGATACCTGGGAATAGGCTTGCAAGATTAAAGTCAACTGCTTTATGCATTCTTTTTTTTTTTTTTTTTTTTAATTTTTTTTTTGACAGGCAGAGTGGACAGTGAGAGAGAGAGACAGAGAGAAAGGTCTTCCTTTGCCGTTGGTTCACCCTCCAATGGCCGCCGCGGCCGGCGCGCTGCAGCCGGCGCACCGCGCTGATCCGATGGCAGGAGCCAGGAGCCAGGTGCTTTTCCTGGTCTCCCATGGGGTGCAGGGCCCAAGCACCTGGGCCATCCTCCACTGCACTCCCTGGCCACAGCAGAGGGCTGGCCTGGAAGAGGGGCAACCGGGACAGAATCCGGCGCCCCGACCGGGACTAGAACCCGGTGTGCCGGCGCCGTTAGGCGGAGGATTAGCCTATTGAGCCGCGGCGCCGGCCCTGCTTTATGCATTCTTACCACTCCTCAGGGCCTCATAATCCACTGCCAGGTTGAAACTGAGTCTGGGCTAGGGAGGAGGCATTATGGTGCAGTGTGTTAAGCTGCTGCCTGGGACTCTTGCTGGTTTGAGTCCTGGCTCCTCCATTTCAGACCTAGCTTCCTGCTAACGCATTCCAGGAGGCAGAGGTGAGGCTTCAGGTGCTTGGGCTCCTGCCTTCCACATGGGAGACCCAGATGGAGTTCCTGGCTCCTGGTTTTGGCCTGGGCCAGCCTTAGCTATTGCAGTCGTTTAGGGGCGTGAACCAGAGAGTGGAAGATCAGTGTGTGTGTGTGTGTCTGTGTGTGTTTGCTTCGTTGTCACTCTGCCTTTCAAATAAGCAAATAAATCTTTAAAAACAAAAAAGGAAAGAAAAAGAATATGAGGGGAAAAGCTGGAAAGAGGAGGCAGCATGCTTTGAACAGAAAACCCAGGCGCTGTGATTTGGAAGACCTCGCCCAGACCATTTAGGGAAGTCAGTCTCTCAGGGTGGGTCTTTTCAGGTAGACACCCCAAGAATGAGGGTGGGGTATCATCCAAGGGCTCCCCTTGACCTTGAGTTGGGAAAACAAGGTCAGGATCCCTGTCACTGAGCACACGTGAGGAAAAGATGGTGTTCAGCGCAGCTCTGTGCACCTGGCTCGGAAAAACCAAACGAGGGGCTCGTCTCGATCCGAACAGCTCTGTCTTTGACAAGCCTCCAGTTTGCAGTCTTGGGATGAGTTTTGTCTTTCACTCCTGTTCTTCCTACCCCTACGACCCAGCAGGGCAGGTGAGTGATCCAAGCCAGATTCCACCTGCTGACAGCGTGAATTAGGGAGCAGGTGGAAGGGGAGTGTGCCACGAGAGGTTGAAGGAGGGGCAGGGGTGCCCCTCGGCCCTTGTTGAGGGGAGCCCTGTCACGGAGACTTCAGCCCTGCACCCTCGCCTTGACGCCTGCTGGATTGCTGGTCACCATCTACCGTGGCTGCCACGTAGTTGTTTTCTTCCCCACTGCACTGTGATAAACAAGAAGCCAGGAGAACTGTGTTTTCAGGTCGTGTCTCTTCAAGTTCCCATGAGTGGTAAGAGTCCATTGAGCATTGAATGAATGAGCCATCCTGCTTGTGGCTGCGAGTTGGTGGTGGTGGTGGGGCGGGTGGGGGGGGTGGTGGCTGAGGCATCATTTTGAAGGCAGTGGAGGGAAGGCTGAATTGCCTGAGTGACCTAATGCTGGAATCACTATTTCCAGAGTGTTAGATTTTCCTGCTGCCAATTCCAATGTAAGTGTCAGAATTCTAAGTCCCTCCCGTGAAACCTTTCCCTTTGTTTATAGGAAGGAATAGTTTCCCTGCCTCTGGCAGGATTTTCAACATGGTCAGGGCAGAACATACATAGCTCAAAGTGCTTTCAGGGAAGGGAGAGGAAAGAGGGAGGAATGTGAGCGTTAGGATTTTACGGATTTTCTCCTCCTGGCCAGCGCAGTGTTTGCGGCTCTGATTGCAATAATTTTGTCTGGACCTATTATTCTTTCTTTGCTCCCACAAGCACGTTCCTGGGAAAAGATGCTTTGGCAGCTGAGAAGAGTAGGAGCAGGAAGGCGGCAGGGCCTCTGGATTTGATGCAAGGCCAAGGCTGGAATGAGAAAGCCGTCAGAATGCTTATTTCTGAAGGCTACAGATGCCCTCTGATTAAAGTACCCAAGAAACAATGATGCCACTGACTTTTATTTTGTTTCAAAGAAAAAGAATGAACGATACTTGAAAAGAAATCTTGGCTGCTAGTCCTGATCCATCACTATACAAGATAACTTGGCCAGACCACCTCCCACCTGGACCCTTCAGGGGGCTTTCATTCAGCAAGACCCATAAGGGGATTAGGTAAAAAGACAAGGGGAGGGGGCTAGAGTTGTGGCCCAATCGGATATGCCGCTGCCTACAACACAACCCATATGGGCATGGGTTCAAGTTCTGACTGCTCCACTTCCCATCCAGCTCCCTGCTGATGCACCTGGGAAAGCAGCAGAGGATGGCCCACATGTTTGGGTCCCTGCACCCGCATGGGAGACCTGGATGGAGTTCCAGGCCCCTGGCTTCAGTCTGGCCTAGCCATAGCTGCTGTGTTCATTTGGGGAGTGAATCCATGGATGGAAGATCTCTCTTGGGGTGTGTCTCTCCCTCTCTCTCGAACTCTGTCTTTCAAATAAATAAATCTTAAAAAAGAAAAAGAAAAAAAGAAGGAAAAGAAAAAGACAGGGAGGGTAGGAATTCAAGAACCTGCAATGAGCATCTTGCCCAGTTTCTCTCTCTCTCTCTCTAATTTTAATTTTAATTTTTTAATTAAAAAGTAGAGAGTTAAAAAAAAAACACAGAGATCTTCTGTCTGCTGGCATATTCCCCAAATACCTATAACATCCTGGACTGGGCCGGGCTGAGGCCAGGAACCTGGGCTCAATCTGGGTCTCTCACATGGGTGGCAGGGACCCATCTGCTTGAGCCATCACCCGCTGCTTCTCAGGGTGTGCTTTGGCAGGAATCTGGATCAGAAGAGGAGCCAGGACTTGAACCCAGTGTTGCTGATAGAGGATGCAAGTGTCCCAGGTGGCATCTTAACTGCCATGTCAAATACCACCCTCTCCCCATCACTGCCAAAAGATCATTTGGTGGAAAACTACATGACTTGCTTTTAAAAATACAGGTAATTATATGCATACAAGCATAATCTAGATTGTACAGCTGAGCTGCCCACCAGGGTGCTATTGAACTCTTGAAATGTGGCCAGTCTGAATTGAAATTGCTATCTGGGTGAAAAACACAGTGGATTTTGAAGATTTAGTACCAAATTAAGGATGTAAAATATTTCAGTAATTTATTTGAATAGTGTGCTGAAATTATATTTGGGATATATTGGATTCAATAAAACACATCACTAAAATTGATCTCACCTTGACTTAATTTTTTTTTTTTTTAGTGTGACTCTGAGAAAATGTGAAATTGCATATGTGGCTCACATTGTTCTCCTGTTGGCAGCTCTGTTCGAGAGCAGAGGAGGTAAACCCCAGTCTCAGGGCCAAGTCGGCCTGAGTCCTGCTTTTGGGAATTAAGTGTTGCTGGAACAAAGCCAGGCTGTACTCACTTGGGTATTGGCTGTAGCTGCTGCCCGAGACTCTCCTTGGACCAAAGTTGAGTCAGACTCCTCTGAGTTTTCTACTTGTCTAGGCCGACCTTGGGCTTCCCTCTCTGTCCTGGTAGAATCCAGTCTGAGCAAGGTCTTGCTAAATCAGTTGAGTGAAAATCCCCCACCCTCCATATCTTATCACCCTGGCCTACCTTCAGCAAGAATTCTGTTGAGTCGTCCTGGCAAGAATCCCCTTACTCCTGACGTTTCCTCCTAGTAATTTTCCACCCCCTCACCCCTGCCCTGCTCCTTGAGCCGCAATAGCCAGGGCTGAGCCAGGCTGAAGCCAGGGTCCAGGAGTGCTTTCCAGATCTCCCACATGGCTGCATAGGACCCAAGCACTTGGGCCATCTTCTATTGCTTTCCCAGGCACATTAGCAGGGAGCTGGATCGGAAGTGGAGCAGCTGGAATGAACTGTGCCCATATGGGATGCCAGCACTGCAGGCGGTGGCTTAACCCACTGCACCACGATGCTTGCCTAATAAACAAATATTTAAAAAAAGAAAAAAGGAATACATGGGGCAGGCATTTGGTACAACAGTTAAGACACTACTTTGGGAGCCCATATCCCGTGTCAGAGTGCCAGGATTTGAGCCTTGGCTCAGCTCTCAAATCCAACTTCGGGTTAATGCATACTCTGGTGCAGGAGATGGCTCAAATGGTTGGGTCATTGCCACCCATGTGGGAGATGCAGATTGAGTTCTGAGCTTCTGGCTTTGGCCGGCCTCAGCCCTTGCTATTGCTGGTGTTAAGGGAATGAACCAGCAGATGGAAGCTCTTTCTGTCTCTCTCTCCCTCTCTTTCTCTTTCAAACATATAAAACATGTTTTTTTTTTCTTTTTTAAAGATTTATTTATTTATTTGAGAGGTAGAGTTACAGACAGTGAAAGGAAGAGACAGAGAGAAAGGTCTTCCCTCCGTTGGTTCACTCCCCAAAAGCCAAAATGGCTGGAGGTGCGCTGATCCGAAGCCAGGAGCTTCCTCCAGGTCCCCAATGCGGGTGCAGGGGCCCAAGGACTTGGGCCATCTTCCACTGCTTTCCTAGGCCATAGCAGAGAGCTGGACTGGAAGAGGGGCAACCGGGACTAGAACCTGCGCCCATATGGGATGCCGGTGCCGCAGGCGGAGGATTAACCTACTGTGCCATGGCGCTGGCCCCTAAAACATTTTTAAAATAGAGAAAACACTATTTCTGTCAGCAGTGGAGAAAAACCTGACCTTAAGCGGTGTACGTTTTAGGAAGGGGGCAGGCCACGTATAGAGCTGAGGAGTCCAGGAGAAGTACAGGGTCACTGTAGGTATTTGGAATGTTAAGGAGACAACAATAAAACTAGCTGGCAGTTCCTGAAAGCTTTCTGAGTATCTGCCATGGCTTGCAAAGTCATGTTTAAAAAACAGAAATAACTTTATTGATTTTTATTCTTGTAAGTGTAACCCATGCTCCTTGCAAAATTCAGAAACATAGAAAAATATGAACTCTATAATTTTAATGGAATTAGTCTATAAATACTGTTTGATAATCTACTGTTTTCACCAACAGTAACTTTGAACATCTTTCTGTGATAACACATATCAATCTGTAGCCACAGAATATGCTGTTGTATAATTGTCAAATTGGACTTAATGCTGATTAGTAATGTCAATTAATTTAGTTTTTTAAAAAAGATTCATTTATTTATTTGAAAGGCAGAGTTACACAGAGAGAGGAGAGGCAGAGAGAGAGAGAAGCCTTCCATCTAATGGTTCACTCCCCAGTGGGCCACAACGGCCAGAGCTGTGCCAATCCGAAGCCAGGAGCCAGGAGCTTCTTCCTGGTCTCCCACACAGGTGCAGGGGCCCAAGGACGTGGGCCATCTTCTGCTGCTTTCCCAGGCCATCACAGAGAGCTGGATCGGGAGAGGAGCAGCCAGGTCTCTAACTGGCCCCCATATGGGATGCCGGTGCTTCAGGCCAGGGCGTTAACTCGCTGCAGCACAGCACCGGCCCCAGTGTCAATTAATTTAATCTTACCTCACTTAATGACTCCGCCTCCGTTTTACAGTTGAGGAAATGAAAGCCTGGAGACATGAAATAACTTGCTCAACTGTGCATATTCCACTCCTAACCACGCTGGACCACACTGGGGAGCCAGCCTGGAGAAGTAGCACCCACAGGACTGAGGAGGACTTGACTATTGCTCTCCCTGCCTGTATTGCCCCAAACTGCACTTCTCTCCATTTTCCTAGAGTCGACTTAAGCCCAAGCTGGGTCATGTGGGAGCTGTGCTCCTCTGGGATGTGCTGACTGCTTTTGAAAGTCTCTTCATGGTGAACATAACCTGCTTGTAAACGGTTTGAACAATTCAGAAAGCAACTTTCCCGTCCTGGCCCCTCCTCTAAGTATGGAGTCTGGGAGGCCTGGCCCAGACCTGGAGGACCGTCTCCCACACTGCACCGTCCTTGAAACACAAGCAGTGCTTTTAGCAGAATGGGTGTACAGTGATACTCTCAGGAGACTTGCTGTTATTGCCTAACCATACAGCATGGATCTGTTTACACAGTAGCACTCATAATCTATTTAATTGTTTTTAACAGCTATTTTAGTAATTGCTTTTTAAATGAAAACGTCAGTTAAAGTTCTGATTGAATACTAGAATAATAACTTTAAAAAAAAAGATTTATTTTGGGGTCAGCGCCTTGGCATAGTGGGTGGAAGCTGCCACCCACCTGCAGTGCCGGCGTCTCATATAGGCACCAGTTCAAGCCCCAGCTGCTTCACTTCCAATCCAGCTCCCTGCTATGGCCTGGGAAAGCAGTAGAAGATGGCCCAAGTATTTGGGCCCCTGCACCCACATGGGAGACCTGGAAGAAGCTCCTGGCTCCTGGCTTTGGATTGGTATAGCTCCAGCAGTTGTGGCCATCTGGGAAGTGAACCAGTGGATAGAAGATCTCTGTCTCTCTCTGCCTTTCTTTCTCTGTAACTCTGACTTTCAAATAAATAAATAAATATTTAAAAAATTATTTTATATATTTGAAAGGCAGAGTTGCAGAGAGAGAGAGAGAGAGAGAGATCTACTAACCTCCAGTTCACTTCCCAAATGGCCTCCACGACTGAGGTTGAGCCAGGCCAAAACCAGGAGCCAGGAGCTTCTTCCAAGTCTCCCACATGGATGAAAGGGTTCCAAGCACTCGGGCCATCCTCCACTGCTCTCCCAGCCCATTAGCAGGGAGCTGGATCAGAAGTGGAGCAGCCAGGACTCAAACTTCTGGCCCCTAGAATAATAAATTTTAAGAACCATTTTACTCTTTTGTCTTTGCCGTCAGCAAGGGAATTCATGTTCATGATCTTGCACTGGGCACAGTGGCCAGTGAAGCACAGCTCTGAGTCAGTGTTGCAAGACAGGGTCCCCATCAGTTTTCCATCTGTGACAGTCTGGGAGCAAAGGACAGGCAACACCAGGGAATGTGATTGTCTCTGACCCTCCTGTTCTTGCACAATCAACAGCGTCACACACCTGTAAAACCCAAAATAATAACTGTCGCCGTAATTACGACCTGTCACGGGAGGTAAGCATGTGTTGTGGAATGTCAAAGTCGTGTCCAGGCAGGGTCGGCTGAAGAATACCGACTCAGTGTCTGTCCCTCTTTTCCTGCGTTTGCAGCCACCAGCTCGACTTGAGTCTCTTCTCCATCGTCATCTCCAGGGGCCTCCTGACTACAGACTTCCTCTGCTACAATCCACTTGACTGATCACACTGCCTCAAGACACAATTTTCTACACATTGCCCCTGGTTCAACCCCCTGGACAAAATCCCAGCTCTGGACCTTGGCATCCAAGGTCCTTCGCGATGCAGCCCTGGCTACCGTTGCCTTATCTCTGAGTCACTCTATGAGCCCATCTCGCTCTCCAGCCAAAAGGTGTCCTTGGCCCTCCACATGTCTTGCTCATTGCTCAGGCCTCCTCTGCTAAGTCTCTGGCCTCGTGGGCCCTGCCTGGCCCCCCAGGTTGTCTTGGGAAGACTCCTGAGCACTCCTGGTCCTCACCAGTCCAACATAGCGTTGGCTCCATCCTCATTCTCCTGCTGGTTTTGTTGCTTATTTTTCCTATGTAAAGATTGTATCCCAACTAGACTATACTAAACACGAAAAGGACTTTCTCTCCTAGCATTTCATACCTTCTAGAAAACATACCCAAGCACCTTCCGCGTCACACATAGTCAATAAAAGAGCTGACACAAATTGCTTAGGGCATCCACAGTGCTTCTGAAGTGGTCAGGCCACGGCGACCTTCTCTTTCTGGAATCCTGGGTATCTTGCCTCCTCTCCGGGCCGTTTATCACACTGTTGGTACTTAACAGGACAACTTGGAAATGTTCCATGAAGGTATACAGAGCCTCCTTCCCCGCCACGTCCCACCCAGGATGACCACAATTTATCTCACTGTGCTCTACTGATGACCGTTTAAATTATTCCCAGTCTTTCACTAGAAAAAAAAAAAAAAAAAAAGCGGCTCTGAAAATCTTGAACCTCTGTGGATATTTCTGCAGGGTAAGTCTCTTAAGGTGAAACTATTAAGACAACAGGCATGTTTGTAGTTTCAAGATATATTTTCTGGCTGGCGCTGTGGGGCAGCAGGTTAAAGCCCCGGCCCGAAGTGCTGTCATCCCATGTGGGTAATGGTTCTAGTCCAGGCTGCTCCTCTTCCAGTCCAGCTCTCTGCTATGGCCTGGAAAGGCAGTGGAAGACAGCTCTCAAGTCCTCGGGCCCCTGCACCCACGTGAGAGACCTGGAAGAAGCTCCTGGCTCCTGGTTTTAGAGTGGTTCAGTTCCAGCCGTTTCGGCCATTTGGGGAGTAACCCAGCGGATAGAAGACCTCTCTTTTCTCTGTGTTTCTATCTCTCTCTGTAACTCTGTCTTTCAAATAAATAAAAATAAACTTTTTTTAAAAAAGATATATTTTCATATTTCCCTCTTTGAAGCTGTTTGAGAATGGACACTCCCCAGTGATGTACGACAGGTAAGTGATTGTGTTCAGTGTTTTCAATGGATTCTAAGGAGCAGAAGAACCATATTTGATTAAACCATTCTCTGACTTTTCTGTTTGGGCTTTGTCTCTTTTCGATAGATAAACCTACTTTGTTGTCCTAGAAACTGAGAACTTGATCCTTTGATTTACAAATCACATAGCTTCTGCTTGGAACAGGAACACAACATTGAAGCACCTAACTGGCAGTGTTCGGCCTATCGGTGGAGACACTGGTTAGGATGTTTGTGTCTCCTGTGGGTGCCTGGGTTCAATTCCCAGCTCCAGCTTCTGACTGCAGCTTCTTGGTAATGCAGACTCCAGGAGGCAGTGGTGATGGCTCAAGTAGTCAGGTTCCTGCCACCTACATGGGCAACAAGCTCCTGGCCTCATTTCAGGCAGTAGGGGAGCAGAGTAGAGATTGGGAGCGCTGGCTCTCTCTCTCAAGTAATAAAATGGAAAATAAAATAAAAAATAAAGCACCTCAAGCATTTTATTTGTGTGGAAGGATGTACTTCTAAAACAGTGTGAAAACACAATGGTTTGTGTATATAAAGTCCAACAACTGACACGGCGTTCGCCAGACAACGCAGATGTTAGGGTCGAGAGGCATGGTTGAGGCCATCATTGTGGTACAAGGCGTTTAGCTGGAACTTGAGACACTTGCGGGAGACCTGGAAGAAGCTCCTGGCACCTGGCTATGGTCTGGCTGAGCCTTGGCTGTTGTGGCTGTCTGGGGAGTGAACCAGCGGATGAAGGATTCTCTTTCTCTTTCTCTCTCTCTCTCTTCCTCTCTTTCTCATACTTTCTGTCTCTCTCTGTAACTCTGCCTTTCAAATAAACTAAAAAAAAAAAAAAAGAGAGAGAGCATGACCTTACACTGTTGTTGGGAAGCAAACCATCTCAAAATGTAGAGGCTTAAAACAGCAGTCAGGGTAGGAAATATCACTGTATTCCTAAATCTGTATATACGAAATACATGAAATTTATATAACATAAAGAAAATTTTAAAAAATAAAAATATTGATTATTGACATAAGTTGATGATAAACAATAGCTAAATATTTTTAAGTTCATGTGAAAATAGCAGAAAAAGCAATGTGCATTTCCCATGATTTTGTGTGTGTGTGAAATGGCCTACATACAGATAGTATGGTGTAGATTTGTTTGTAGTAGAAAAAAGGCAAACAATCTAAATATCCTTCAAAGAGTGTGTATGTGTGTACACATATCTATATCTGTAAATAAATGTTCTGAGATGAAGCACACACACACACACACACACACACCAGTCACTTCCCACTGCAGCTCCTGCATCTGCAGTTCATCTAAAGACTGGACAGGTGACCGCTCATCTTGACTGGATTTGCTCCTGTGTCTCTGGGTCAGCTGGATGGCTCTCTTTTGGTCTGAGCTGGGCTGGAGCAGCTTCTTTGGGCAGCTCTGTCCCACCGGTCTCTCATCCCCTTCCTGGGAACAGCAGGCCAGTCCAGGCATGCTTTGTCATGGAAATAGGAGAGATGCGGAGAGGGAGTCCAACCACACTGGCTGGCTTTCAAGCCTCCGCTTGTATCACCTCTGCTAGCATCCTATCGGCCACAGCAGATACTGTGGTCAGGATCGGAAACATTCTCATCTCCTGATGGAAGAACAGCAGTCAGGGAAGAGGCTACTGAAGATATAGGGAGGGACGAAGAATGGGGACACTATCACCACCTGCCCCAGCCCCGCAACTCCAAGGTGCCTTGGGTTAAGTTAACTCGTGCTCCAAGTGCAATCTCATTCTCCAAAGCGTGATCGTCACTTCCCAAAGGCACCCAGAGCACCTGAATGCACCAGGAACGGGCATGGAAGTACCTCCAGCACAAAGGCTACACTTTGTCTGCTGCAGCAGGGTAAATAGAGGAGGTTGACAAGCCAGCACTGGCTCAAGCCAGCGCCACATCCAGCAGCCCCCACCCTAGCAGCGTCTTAGAATGTGATTCACTGCGCTAGCAGGAGAAAAGTAATTGAGGGTGTAATTTATATTGGGGAAAATTGCTCTGAAAAAAAAAATATAGCAACAGGCCAGACACTCTGTCTCTAAGGAAGTTTAACACCAAAAAGAGTCAAGAAGACTGTGCAAAGCCAAGTAGAGGAACATGTTGACGGAAGAGTAGGTACCTTTGGAGGTGAGATGGAGCTCAAACAGACGAAGAGAGAGCTAACATAGAAGAAAAACTGGTTTACACAGCAGGAAAAAATTCTGAAAAAATCATAGAGGGGAAAGACGGGAAAGCAACATGCCTTGCATTTTCTGACCTTTGCCTTGCTTTCTGCAAGTGCTCGAGGGAAAAGACAAACACAACGCGGAGTTTCAATGGAAATGCCTCAGAGGTTGCTGTCCCAGCCTACCCCTCGTCCTGTCGTGGGAGGAAGCCAATCGCACACGACGGGAAATCCAAACAAAGTGAGCAAGCGCAGGGAAACTCGAGAGAACCCAGCTTCCAACTCGGATTCCTTTGTGATCCTTGGCTCTCTGTCTGGCTTAGATTATAAGCTCGCTCTACAGAGCTTTTTGTAATTATACTTGTACAAAAAAGCTATTCATGAGTGAATAAGCTATGAATGTTAAATCAAACAATGATAGTAACATTACCAGCCACAGAGTTGTATTTTGTAAAAAACCACAATGTTGTGCATTGGAAGGTGAGAGGAGACAGATTGAAGTCCCCAGTTGGTCGTGAAGGTTTTACCTGTCCTCTTCCCAGGAGTGCTTAGACTGTCTCCATTTTCTCATTCAGTCGGAGTTCACCCCAGACCTTTTATGTTTCACTTCTTTGTCTCTAAAGCACAGAGGTACAGCTCCATGATTATGGAAGTCCAGCCCACGTTGCTGGTTGATTCTGTGATTTTTCTACACTCCCATCCCAGCTCATGGCACAGTCCATGGAAAGAATGAAATTGGTGTGGCATTAGTCCTTGTTCAGGCCTTTAATAGCAGAGGTAAGTTGGCACAGAGTTTTAAACAAAAAACCACAGTGAGGTCATGGCAAGCAGAACGCCTACAGGGGTTGCCAGGTACACACTCTGTGCTCTGGGCTAGTTGCTTAATCTCTGTATGCCTAGGTTTCCTCCTCTGTAAACGGGGAAATAGAGACCCTCGTATTACTGGGTGTTGTGAGGATTGCATGAGTAATACATGACAGAGTTAGTGAGGGGCTTAGTACATAGAAAGTATTCTGTAAATTTTTTATTAATGTCAGCAAATGTGATTTTTGGCAACCCTCAGGATGCCAGGTGTTCTTTCACTAAGATGGATGCTAAGAAATTTTGTTTATAAATACAGGATCTTGCAACAACAACAACAACAAACAGATCAACAACAGCAAAAAGCAATGTTTTCCATTCTTGTTGACTTGCTGATTAGAAGTAAGACTCACACGTGTAACACAGAAGGCAGCACCCTGGGTTGAGAGTTAGTGTAGCCTGGGTTTCCTCTTTTAAAAAAAAAAAATTATTTGCATTTATTTGAAAGGCAGAGGGACAGGGACAGGCAGACAGACAGAGAAAAAGCTTCCATTTACTGGTTCACTCTCCAAATGCCCACAACAGTTGGGGTTGGGCCAGGCGAAAACCAGAAGGCAGAAATTCCAACCAGGTGTCCCACATGCATGGCAGGGACTCAAGGATCTGAACCATCACCGCCTTCCTGGGTGTGCATTAGCAGGAAGCTAGAATGGGAAAGGGAGCCAGTCCTTGAACCCAGGCAACTTCAATATGGGGTGCAGGCATCCCATAATGCATCACATCACCACAGCAAACACCTGCTCCTGGGTTTCTTTGGAACGCACTTTATTTTGGTTTACTTGTGTCTTTGCATTTAGCGCATTTCATTATACTTCTCTACCTACAGCCAGTAAGATTATGATTCTCAGCTTTGGCTGAAATCATTCAGGGAGCTTTAAAAATCCTTATGCTCAAACTTTCTGTGCTGTGAGAAATCAGGGTAGGGGCTGGTGCTGCAGGTTAAGCCACGGCTTGTGACACAGGTCTCCCATATCGGATTGCTGGTTCCAGTCCAGGCAACTCCTTTTCTGATCCAGCTCCCACTTAATGCACCTGGGAAGGAAGTGGATAGTGGTTCAAGTACTTGGGCCACTGCCACCAACATGGGAGACCTGAATGGGGTTCCTGGCTCCTGGCTTTGGCCTGCCCCAACCCTGACCATGGTGGCCATTTGGGGAGTGAAGCAGTGGATGGAAGATATCTCTGTGTGTCTCTCTCTGTAACTCTGCCTTTCAAATAAATAAATCTTTAAAAAAAAAAAGTCAGGATAGAGTGTGTGTGTATTGAGGGGTCCGGGGTTACTGAAGTGAGCATGTGACACACTTCTAGGGGACATAAGAAGTTCTGAGTCTTTAACGGGGCGTTGGTTACATAGGTTCTTTCTGTTTGTAAAAATTCAATGAGATTCATACTTAGTGTACCCACACGTTTCTACATGTGTAGTTTTTTTCAATAAAAAGTTAAACACATATCCCCATGTTGAAATTGCTCTGAGGACCAATTAAATCAAAATATTTAGGGGTGGGACACTGGCGTGAACATTTTTGTAAAATCTCCCAGGTAATTGCAATGTGTGGCCCACATGAAGAGCTGCGGCCCAGGTTCCCTTGGTTGCAAGCAGACCCAGACCTCACAAATGGCATTTCGAGCTGCAAGTAGAAAGTCCTCGCTCAGAGCAGCCAGGAGTCAGATGGATTGACCTGGGATTGGTAGGTCCAAGGTCCAAAGGCAGTTGGGCGGTATAGTAGGCAAAGGGAACAGATAGAAATCTGGTTTCAGTGTCCCCCTCTGCCACTCACTGGCTGAAAAGCAATGAGCCAGTCATGCAGTAACCTCACAGCATTGTTGCCACCCAGGCTAGAACCCCCACCGATACCGGGGTGAGCGTGCATTCTATGGATCAGGGCTCCACTCATGAGCTGTTATTGTGTGGTATTGCCGATTTGAAAGGAACCCCCCAAAAGCCACTTGGGCTTTGCCTCTGGTATCAGACAGTGCTTCCAGGCAGGATTTCTGCATTTTGACTGTGACCTCCCATCACTCCCTCTCCTGCCCTGGACTGACGGGGAAGGAAGAGGCACC